AAGAGTTCATGGACAGCTCCCATGCCATCGCCAAGAAGGTTTGGGAGGAGGACACTGGATTCTACGGGTCTCGAGGAGTCAAGATCCACTCGCTTGAGGTGACCCGCTATCAGTGTGCAGACTCACGAACGGAGCAGATCCTGGAACAGATTATCCAGGAGACAACCAACAGGATGAACCGTCTGTCTCAGGCCGAAAGTGAGAACGAGGTCAGCCTCTTCCGAACACAAGGGCAGATTGAGCAAGAGCGCCTCAATGGGGATTTGCTGGCCATCAAGCACCAGCACTCCGAAGCAGAGGCAGAAGTGGTCGGACGTGGCGAAGCCAAGAGGGTGGCAGCCTTCATTGCCGACCTTGAAGCCAAGGTACCCAAGCTCGAAGACCGAATCTCGCTATGGCAGGTCTTGCGCAAGAATGAAGCTTTGAGCTGCATATCTGAGGGCAATGCAAGCCTCTACTACACTCCCTCTGATGTGGACCTGTCGATTCAGACAAGCAAATAGGGTGAACGTAACCTGTGAGCGTGCAGGGTAGACCTAGGGCGAATTCAACTAAACCTGGCCTCGTGCCCGCACAGAACAAGGCTGTTTCACCAGTGCACTTGTTTGGCTTTTCGGGGTGATGACGCCCGCAGCGTTTGGCAAGCGGCTCCGCAGCGGACCCATGCTGTGCAGCAGACCGCTACCACAACACAGCGGCACATGCCCCGCGGCCCTCTTTATGCAGGGACTTTCAACAATATAAGATGAGTGTATCTAGTGCATCACGTGCAACACACTGTGACCGAGAATTTTGTTTGGCCCGGTCCATTGCACCCACCATGTACAGGATTGGGTGTGCGCTTCAAAAGGAGTACCAGCTGATCACTCATTCAGCACTCGTTTTGTGTAGCACGCGTTGCTTTCAACGCACAGGACTGGGAGTTGGAAGCTGCGGCAGTGGGCGCAGAGGCTTGTGATGAGCCCGAAACATAGTCCGGAGAAGGACCGTTCTTACATACGGTTGGTCCTCAAAAGTCGAAAAAGGTGGGGGAGCCACAGAAACAAACGTTACTTAAAGCATCAGGGGCATCAGGGGACAGAATCACTTGCACATCTCGCGATCAACTCCGCGCAGCGGTGCCAGGTGTCGCAGCCGCAGTCCGCGCATCACGACATGCACGGCGGCCTCACGCAAGGCTTGCGCAACTTCCCAAGACACGGGGGGTTCCGCTAGCATGATGGCTTACAATGAGCTTGGCGTGAAAGATTCAGTCATCCGGGCAACTCTGATTGCACCCTGCGTGTTCGTGTGCGTGTGCGTGTGCAGGTGCGCGCGCGCGCGCGCGCGTGTGTGTGTGTGCCTTGCTTGCTTGCTTGCTTGCTTGCTTTCTTTCTTTCTTTCTTTCTTTCTTTCTTTCTTTAGTTCTTTTGTTCTTTCTTTAGTTCTTTCTTTCCTTTCTCTCCCTCTCTTTCTCTCCGTGCATGCACGTGCTTGTGTGGGAATGTCAGTGCAGCCTTGGTACAGTTCTCAGCTTTCATTCCCACACCGTTTCTGGAGTTGTTTGTCACACCCACGGCCCATGTGCAACAGAAATCCCTCTACGGGTGGTGCAGGGGTAGGCTGCGGCGGAGTTCACATTTTATTGCCGCTTTTCTTGCTCGGGCACGGGTTGATACCAGCACAGGCATCATGCGTCCGATGGACAGCCAACCATTCCAACCACACAACCTTGCTGATCATGGCACCAATGGTTATACCATTGGGGTATGGCATTGCCACTGACCCTGAGGCATTTGAACGACCTGCCGGCCTGATGGTTCGTCATATCCGTTTGCTATACGGGAACTTGTGCAGAGTTTAAGACACCTGAGGTGCAGCCCAGCCTGCGTTTTGCAGCACTTGCTTGGACGGCATCATGCCGTCACTGTTTCGTTGCTGCAGGGCGGCTAAACCTGCGCAATACTCCTCATTTGGCATTTGCCGTGCGTGATGAGTTGTGGTTTCTCGGATGCTCGGCTTGGAGGCTCAGGGTTGCTCCTCAACCAATAAGAATTCTTCTGGACAGGCACTCATCTTTTGGTTTAGAGACCTCCGTGCCAGCCTTGGCTGAAAGTGATGGCGCGAGTTGATTGGAACGAGGCTCGGCCAGCTGGGCCTAGAGGAACAGCTTAGTGCCACTTAGTGCCTTGGTGCCTTGGTGCCTTGGCAGGCTAAGCCTTCAGAGGCCAAGGGGCACAATTGGCACATGGGGGAGGAGCGGAAACAGCTTCCTTTCAAGCAGTTTGGATCCGACCCTTGGAATTGTCTAAGGAATGGAGGGCTTTGATTTTTTTGAGACTGTTCCAGTGGAGTGCCCAGCGCTATCGGCTGCGCACAACGCTTTTTTCAAGGGCTCCCGGCAGGAGCTTTCTCGCCTCTGGCTTCCAAGGAACTTCGGACGGGCGGTTTCAGGCATCGGCGCCGACAATGAGCACACGTCTCACAGGTGCTGTGTGCAGTTCTCCCGACATCACGTGAATGCCTCCGCAGGGTACCTTTTGCAGCTGTTCCATCACGCCTTTGTGCACTAAGAAATTGACAGACTGCCTTCAAGTGAGTGGGCCGGCAAAGGCCGGGAAGCCTTTCGCATCAACCGTGCTCTGACTTGCCACTGTCAAGTCAGGGGGCCATTTTGCCACTTTGCGCTCTGCAAGAGTGCTGTGAAGCTGTGATTCTGAAGGTCCGCATCAGCAAGTGGAAAGAAACATGCACCGTGACGGCCTGTAGAGCCTGATGAGGATAGGGAAAGTGGGGGTGGTCATGCTAGTTAGAACTTGCGAATGCAAGTGCTACTGCTACTGGCAATGCAGTTGCCTTACTTTGCATGAGCAGTTCTGTACACATGTATATGCGTATATATATATATATATATTATACTCTTATAGAAAATGTACATGCAGCAGGGCTGGGTCAAGACAAAGCTCGGCACTTATTTGAATAGTGGCGAGCTTCCTTTGATGGGTTGACCATGCAAGTTAGCCAGTCGCAGCATCATTTTTGGGTCCCAGTGTGTGAAGAGCAAGGCATGGAGAGGATGGCGGTAGAGACAAGCTTCACACAGCCGCAGGCAACCAACATGTTGATTGTGGCGTTTTGAGAGTGCATTGCGACTCAAGGTTTTAGCAACCAGCAGAGCGGTCTACAGTGATTTTCGGAGGAGTGGCAGCAATCCAAACGGTGAGAACAATGGCACAGAAAACCAAATGCCCAAAAACCTGAGCTGGATCAGCACCAGGTTTTACCAGCTGTGAGCCAGCCGCAGGCAACGCATGGGGCGGAGCCGGTTGCCATGGCTGTCTTTGGCCTGGGTAGCGCCCTGCGCTGCACAAGGCCAGGGGTCCAGGGGTGATCGAAAACACTCATTGATTGAAGAAATGCGTGGGGTACAAGAAAGACAATTGGCACATGTGACGCTAAAAGAGTGGGTACAGATGCAACCGGCCCTTCATCTTGGTGAATACAGGCAGCACGAGCCCAAGGGCTCTTTGCAATGAGGCACATTCTCAAGCATCAACCGCTGAAGATATGCTGCTGCAGCACATGTTTTCTCTCCAGTCCGCCTCCTCGCGACAGCCTCCCAGCACTTGTTTACAGCAAGCAGCATCAATTTTTCACACATGGCGGGTTTGACCAACCGAGGAGTTTCAATCGTCATTGGGCCCTGCCGAGCAAGGCCTCAGAATCAATTATGCCCGCCAACCATTCCAGCCAGCCATACAAGACTCATGGCCATCCGAGCGCCAGGTTGACAATCTGATTTTGTGTCGCGTTTCCTGCCTGAGTTCATTGTGCCACACAACGCCCCCCAGCCAAGGCCCAATGCCAGTTCCCAGCAGCTCTCTGCAGCCGCGGGCCTGGTTTGATGGTGCGCCTTATCCTGCCTCAAATAGGCCTCGGCAATGTGAGGTCAGGGACTCGCCCCTCTGGGAGCTCCGAGGCTTCTGCCCTGCGCGCAGCACCTCCCTCGCTGTGCCAGTGCATGCGGGGTGACGGAGTTTCAGGCATGGCGCCTACAAATAGGGATAGCGGACAAGGCCCAGTACCTACAATGCCGTAGCATTGGTGCTTGCTTGCTGCCCATTGAAGCGCCGCTCTGGGTGTGTCGCAAACTATACGAGCATTGTCTTGCAGGTCAGATGCCTGCACACATTGTTCATTTGATCTTGACTCTCTGCTTGAAAGAGGGCCTTTGCGGGGTGCAAGCATGATTGAGGCCCAGCGCCCCCCTGCTCAGACCCAATGCCCGGATAGCTGGACAGGCTTTGCACGAGTGGCTCCTGTCCACGCCGCAGCAGGCAGACCAGATCGGGCCAAAGGCAGGAGCCGGACAGACGAGTACTTCAAACCATTTGGACTGAGGCGCAGGAAGGTAAAGCTTGCGGCCAGAATCAGTTGTGACCGAAGATGCAGGCAACGAGATGTGGGTCTGCAAATGTTAAACAATATGAACAACGGACAGCATGCCTCATTGGACAGATGTTTTGTTCCCCGCTACAGGTGAATAAAATATGTTCCCGAGGTATGCTGAACCGGTCTCAAACAAGGTGGCAAAAGCACCTCCGGTTTTAGTTTTGTGGCCTGGGTGGGCAGCATGAGTTTCTGATGGATGGCCAAGCAGCTTCGTGAAGATCATTCCGGCCCTGCAAGCCCCAACTGGGCAAAAGAGCTTCATTAAGCTATTAAGCCTCCTTGTTTCATTCGCTTTCGACAGAACGCCTGCAAAAGTCGGGGCTCCAGATGCACCCGGCCTTTGCTTGCTTTGCCAAAGGCCAGCTTGCCGTGGCATCCTCAGCCTTCGTTGTGGGGTGTTCGGAGTTCTTGAACTGGGTGGCTGGCACCTGTCCAAGATGGCTAGCCGAAGTTGGGGTGACCTGAGTAGTTCAGTCGCCACTTGCCATGCAGTCGAGACAGAAGGGCTGTCTTGCAAGGGCCATGGCCCAAAGTGGCTCGCAAGAACTTTGCTTGCCATGTTTACGACTGCAGCTCAGGAGCGACCTGGAGCGGGGGACCTTGCAGCTCATCAAGGACATAGGCGGGGCGCCGTAGATGGGGTGCCGCACATGGTGTCTGCCGCAAGGCTTGTCCGCTCTCGCTTCTTCCTTGGACTACCTCATACTGTGCCAACACAGTGCCGCCTGGCCGTTATGTTTGATGCAGTTGGGTTTGGGTGTTTACTTTCCGTGCTGCTACGCTGAACTGGGTGATAGCAAGGTGTACATTTCTCATTTGCATACTTTCATGCTGCCGGTTCGTTGGTTCTGTGAGCCAGAGCAAAGTAGTGAAGCAGAGTATTGATGCCACTGATGCGATGCCTCTGTTTGAGGACCTCAGAAGCCTCTGAAAGAGAAACCCAGGTTTACTTCGAACCGTAGGCAGGACTCCTCTCAGGCATGCGTGGGTCCGCGACAGCTGTGCACCCCGCTTGCACACCTTTGGGAGCTCAACCTGGCAAACAAAGAATCATCGTTCCCAATAACACAACTTGCTAAGACCAAACGGAAGGGAGAGCGGCCGCATGTCTGCCAGAGCTAACCAAAGGATCCAGAGCTGCTGGGTGGCAAGAGCTTCTTTCTATGCACCAGCTGCTTCCTTCAGGCAGATTTGAACATGGACCTTGGCACCGTCGATGTCTTCCTAATAACTCTGAATAACTCTGACGTGCTGCCAGCATGGCAGTGGCTTGGAGCAGTTGAATGGGCTTTTTGGCAGGCAGATCCCTTCCTCGCATGCAAGGACCCGCGCTGCGGTGTGCCACTGCAGCACTTTGAGCCGGTGCAGGTAGGGCTTTGAGCCACCAAATGCCCAGGCATGTCCATGAGGTCAGCGGACCTCCTTGCTGCAAAAATTGAGCAATGCTTTTGCGCTGCTCGTGGATTTTGTCTTTGGGCACGGCGGCTCCGAAGCCCAACACTTCTGAATTCAGCATGACTGCCAGATGCTGCGCGCGCTGCTGGACACACAGTTGCGCGAGCTGGTCCAGGCTGATGCGAGAGCTGGGAAGTTCATGAAGCACCGGATTTGTTCACCTTTTGCTGATTTGGCTGGATCGCCGGGCTCAACATTATGAGTTATGAGTTGTGGAGGTCACTTCAACATTGAGAGGGTGCGGCGCATCGGATGCCCCCAAAAGGTGGCCGCAAGCCCTGACAAACTCCAAAATCCTGTAGCAGAGAAAAAGGACAAAGGCCACTCACCCATACTAGTGGGCCCAGCGCATTCCAGCGCATTGCTGGGAACATTGTGCGCCAAACGGCCAAGACATGCGCCAGGCCAATCGAACCCGTATGTGCTTGAAGAAGTGTGAGAAGACTCGTGCTTGCAGAAGTTTAATAGAGGGGAAGTCGAGAAACAGGCGTGCGTGGCCCAAGATTCAAATTAAGCCCAATTCCTAGCAGGATTACCGTCCTGATACGGGGCTGCGCTCGCCGGTGCTTCGGGCCTGGCACCCGGTTCGAATGCCTTCCAGGAAATGATGGATATGATGGATGCGACAAGCGCGTTCAGTTACATTCAACATGTGTAGCCCAAATCTCAACTCTCAAAGATTCTTTGTTTAGAAGTGCCAGCTCTCCGGAGTTGTTGTTGGGTACCTGGTAATGTGACCGTGCAAAAGGCAAACACACGCGTTCCCATTCCCGGTGTATGAAGTCTTCAGCAACGGTACAGATTCCGAGTCATTGCGAGATGGGCTGAGGTGGGGCACAGCCTCAGGTCAGCCAGCACCTGAGCATGCTTTTTTGAAGCAGCAGGGACGCCCTGGCAAAAAGTGGCAAAGTTTGAACAAGCTGGAATTGAGAAACAGATGGCAGACTGGCAATGTTCGGCTTCGTTCGTGCCTGAAAAGAGGCTGACACAAGATGAGATCGCCTGCAAAGTTGGTCTCAGGACCTGGATGGCTTTTTGCGGCAGTTGCAGCGGCCCCATTCATTGTCAGCTCCACCCGACTTGCACCACCCCAAACCCTGAGACCGGACACCAGCAGATGTGTCACAAGTTCCAGAGATTCCAGGCGCTCCCTGGAGCCTGGGCTGCAGGCCGCGGAGGTTTCTGCGCGGCTTGTGCAGACGGCAGGCGCGAACATGCGACTCCAGCGCCGGCCAACTTTCACCCTACTTGAGAAATAACTCAGATTGGCTTTAGAGTTCTGGAGTCGCTGGGAAGGGTCGTTTTTCCGTGTGCTCGAGAGTTGCAGGCTTGCGTGCCCGCATGCTGGCCTGGCATCTGGGAGCTTGCCTCAGCCTTTGGAACACTTCGTGGCTAACTTAGGCAGCGCCCCACAGGTAGCTGCGGTGTTACTGCACATTGTAGCAGGCTCTTTGGCCGCTTTGGCCGCTTTGGGCCTCTTTGGCCCTCTTTGGCCTCTTGGGCTGAGGCATGCACTTCTGGGCACGGGCCTTGGCCTGCCTCCCGCACGATCCCGGGCCTTGCTCGCTCAAGGTGCGGGACTTGGCCGTCCCCGGAAGGGGGGCCCCCGTCCTCGTCCTTCACGACGAGCGCGGCGCTGAGGGGCTTTGGGCAGGGAACAAGCGCCTGTGACCCAGGTTTCACCAACTCCCCACTGTCCCGGAGGAATAGCAAAAACTTGCGCATGCCTGAATTTGCATTCTCTTGATTCGCTGTGTGCCAGCCAGTTTTGCAACAGTTGTGTCAGGTTACCTGTCCAAAAAGTGTCCCTACACCCCCTTCGGAACACAAGGGTTGCAAGCCGGCCTTTGCGAGCAAAAGGGTTTTCCGCTTGAGGTACACGTCCTTTGCAGACATGGTATCCGTTGTCATAGGCGCGAGCTGGATGACGAGAAATACCGTATCCCAAGTCGGCACTTCTTGACAAAGGCATCCAACATGCAGGAGTTTCTTGGAAGGCCGTTCTTTCAGACATCTAGTTGTGTCCTGCACCAACGCAGCTACATTTCGCCCAACAAGGTAATGCCTCAAGACCATGTTGTTTGGCAGCGGCATTTTGAAGCAACTGCTCGAGAGCGAAACGATGCGCCGATGTACTCCTGCTCTCCATTGGCAGTGCGATCCGCCTCCAGCCTTCTCAATTGGCACACTCCTCGTTCTCTAGCTAAAGTCTGCATCTTCCTGCTGAGAAGGGTTCTGGCCACACGCCAAGGTTATGGGGCAGGCGGAGAGTGGAGCAAGCAAGGTTTCCCAGTACGTTTGCCCAGCTTGCTCAACTTTGCCTGAACCACGATCTGCTGATGCCGCAACAGTAGTTGAACAACAACAAGCAATGATAAGACGACTACCTTCAGTGGGGGGCTTTTGAGATTATCAGGTGTCTTTAGTTTTTGTGTTGCATGATTGCGCCAGAGCAGTTAGCATAATTTCAAGCCTGAAGCCCTTTGTGCTTGTCTGACCTCAGGTGGTGCATCAACCAACCAATTTGTGCAGCATGCTTTTTCCCTTAAAAACAAGCATCTCCTGATGCCCTTTGGAGGTCAATGCAGGCAGGAGAAACCAGTGCCGCAATCGTGTTTCTGACTCGACGCATAGGCGGCTGAGCAATATTCAGCTGGCTTCAGCTTGGGGCCCTCGGATTTTTCCTTCAGAGCGCAGGCACCATGGTGCGGAATGGCCAGCCGCAACTCGCCATGGCGGAGCTTGGTGTGCCCACCCAGGAGGCCAAGAGATGGCATCCCACTGAGCCCATGGCATGTTCGGGCACTCGGTGCAGGAGTGGCTGGCACCGCAGCTCCTCAGAAGTGTCCCTGGACTTCAGTATGTGGCAGCCTCGGGCACAGAGTTAGATGTTGGTGGGAGTTTGCGAGCCTCTGAGTGGTTTATTGCTGTCAACGAGGTGGCCATAATGCTCGAGCCACCTGAAGAGCAGCATGGAGACAAGCTCAGCTTGCAAGATCTTGTACCCGCCCTTTGTTTACAGCCCGACGTGGCGCAGTCACTTATCTTTTGTTTTGTGTGATTCATGGCGTTTTAACGCGTGTGTGTGTGGCTGTGTTTCCGCTACGCTTTCTCCAGCAGTCCCCATGTGTGTGTGGGGGTGCCACGGCTGAGCTGCGCAAGGTGCTGCAAAGTTTGCTGTCTTTGAGCAGCTGCGTGCGGGGCTTCCAAGTCGCGGGGGCCAATGCCTAGGGACCTTGGGCTATTTCGGAGCTGTGGAATTTGAGGTTTGGCAACCTTTTTGAGCAAGTGAGAATCCTGCTCTATCCCTGCTGAACTCCATGGCTGAATAACAGCCTCTATTATGCCCACTCATTTCATGAAGCTTTCGGTGCGGATGGACACGAGCGCTTTCTCGTGCTGTCAGCCAAATGCTCTCAGGCTTGGAGAATGATCCAGGTCCCAAGTTTAAGTAAATTTGTACCTTTTTGCGTTTCCCTGCTTTGTTACTTTTTCTCAGCAAGGCCTGCATAATTTTGGGATTGCAGGTTGAAGGCCCAGTTCCCCACCTGTCAGATGAGGTTGTTGGTTCCAGGGCCCGCTTCGGTCTGGGTGTTGGGGTGCTGCGGGCGCACAAAACTGGCCATCCGTGGGGCAGCTGCTAACCACAGGCATGGGGCCACGCTCGGAGGACCGCTGAGGCCATAAGACGCTGTCCGGGTGCTGGGGGTGTCCGTGGCGGATGTTTGGGGAGCCCTGAGGGCCGCGCTGCTCCTGAGTACGTAGACTGCTGCTTCTGGGGGCTGAAATGACGGCCACCATCCCTGCGGCCGCGTTGCTGTGCACACAGGTCGCCCTCCAAGCACAGGTGTGCGTGCTGAGGGACCTCCGGCTGTGCACATTGGCGGCCAACCGGGCGTTGGGGTCATTTGGGGGGCCGGTCTGGCGCACACACGCCGGAGTTGTGGGGGCGCGCTTCTGAGCACATCGGGCGGCCAGGGCCCCTGCGTGGGGTCCTCCAGTTCTGCCCCAAAAGCATTGGCAATTAACAAGCGGGAGGGAATGGCTCGAAGTTATTGTAAGTTAGGCCCTTTGTGTGATTCTCAGCGGATTTTGCTGTGCAAGCCTCTCCCATGTGTAGTCTAAATGGTTGGAAGGCATGGTGGAAAAACATGTCCTAAAGATTCAACCGACTTGAAACTATATAAGTATTCATATATATATATATATATAACACATATGTATGTCTTGGCAGGTGGCAGGCGTGTGCCATGATCGCCTTTGAAGCTTTAAAGTATGACCGTAGATCTTAGCCACGTCACCACGGGAATCCCGTACCCAATCAAATGGGTTTGTGGCCCACAGGCTGAGCTGCAGCAGTCGGAGCTGCACCAGCGACTGGCGCTTCACTTCGCTGCCTCGCCGTGGCTCGCGGGCAAGTGGGGGTGGGGGAACTAATTATGTTGGACTGGCTGGCGTAGGCTGCATGGACGCACATGTCCACTCGGGTGATGTTTGTCACCCTTCAACCGGGGTTGTGCCCTTGGGCCCTGGCTTGCAATTCAGCTCTGGTCCTTGTGCTTGAGGGGTGCGCGTGGCAAATGGGCGCGAAAGGGCGAAGGCGGCAACTGCCTAAAGTGCCCAGCTGAGGAGTGCGGCGGCTGCTATGCCAGACAGGCATGCAGCTGTGCCAAAGTTGACAGTTGATGAATAGCCAAGTTGAACTGGACAAATGTTTGCTGGTATCAATCATTCTCCTCCATGCATCAGCATTAGGCCGCAGTTTTCCGGCTGTGGTAGGAAGTGACTGCTGCATGGCTGTCGGCCATGCACACGTTTTGCATGTTGCCGACCTCTTGCGTCCTTGTTTGAAGGTCGCTCGACTTGGCCTTGCTGGATCTCCGCGGCGCTGATGCGAGCTTCGCGCAGGCTCTCATGATTGATTAGGGCCTAGGGCCTGGCAGGTTCTCGAATTTTGTGCGCAACTAGCCCCTACCCTGAAACGCATTTCTCAGGAAACACGATTTATCAAAACGGCGGTGAGGAGCAGATGGCACTCTGGGAATCCAAAGTGAAGCCTGCTGGGGCAGCTGGGCTGCACTAAGTAGCCTTCCATTTTACGCGCGTACTTTCTTTTCAGAGGTGCGGTTGGTGTTTGTCAGCGAGTCAGCAGCTGTCTTCCCATCAAACAACATGCTCCCCCCATCTAAGCCCGTAGATGTGTGCAGCTGCTCTGCTGCGCGGCAGTTTTTCCAAAAGTGCGCGTACGCAACATTTCAAGCCAGCACTTGGATTTAGTGATAGCGTGCTGTGCACTTTTGCCTGAGAATCGTATCCATGATCTTTGTTTGGTTGTTTTGTCGTTTTGTTGTTTTGTTGTTTGTTTGTTTGTTTGTTTGTTGGTTGGTTGGTTGGTTGGTTGGTTGGTTGGTTGGTTGGTTGGTTGGTTGGTTGGTTGGTTGGTTGTTTTGTTGTTTGTTTGTTTGTTTGTTGGTTGGTTGGTTGGTTGGTTGGTTGGTTGGTTGGTTGGTTGGTTGGTTGGTGGGTTGGTGGTTGGTTTGGTTTGGTTTGGTTTGGTTTGGTTTGGTTTCGTTTGTTTGTTTGTTTGTTTGTTTGTTTGTTTGTTTGTTTGTTTGTTTGTTTTCTTGTGTGTTTGTTTGTTCTGTTTGTTTGTTTGTTTGTTTGTTTGTTTGTTTGTTTGTTTGTTTGTTTGTTTGTTTGTTTGTTTGTGTGTTTGTTTGTTCTGTTTGTTTGTTTGTTTGTTTGTTTGTTTGTTTGTTTGTTTGTTTGTTTCTTTGTTTCTTCGTTTGTTTCTTTGTTTGTTTGTTTGTTTGTTTGTTTTTTTGTTCGTTCGTTCGTTCGTTCGTTCGTTCGTTTGTTTGTATGAATGTGTTGTTTTGTTCGTCTTGTTTTGTCTGATTGCCGGTTTGTTTGTTTGTTTGTTTGTTTGCTTGCTTTTTTTGCATAGCTTGTTAGCTTGTTAGCTTGTTAGCTTGTTAGCTTGTTAGCTTGTTAGCTTGTTAGCTTGTGTGAGTTTGACAGTTTGTACATGCAGCACCACGCTGACACAGGTACGCTCGAGCCGCTCGGGCATTCGATGGGTTAAGCGAAAAGCAGTGTGCGCTCCTTGGTCAGTTCGACATTGGTAGCGGAGCTTCGGCTCACGGTTTTCCAGCCCTTTGGGGGACTGATGGCACAGCGCGTGCAATGGCGTCTGCACTGGAGATGCTGAAGTTCACCAACTTCACGCAGGTCAATGAGGAGGCTGGATCAACGGAGCAGAAGGGAGTCGCTTCGCGAGTGATCCAAACCACTTGGGTGAGTACATCTTCAGGCCCGCATGACCAAGGAGGAGAGAAAGAAACATGGACCACTGGGTCTCCGCCTGGTGGAAGGCATGAGCGGCATCGTCTTGAAGATCGCAAAGAGGATGGGCCCCGCAGATTTGTTCAAGCCCACGGGAGCACACCTGAAGATGCTGGAGGCAGAGCTCAAGCCGAAGCGGGTGCAAGAGGTGAGAGAGCTCTATCATGCTGGGTCCCAGACACACAGCATCATGGCCCGACAGATGAAGGAGTCGATGGCGAACTACATTCTCAAGAGACGGGCGTGGTATCGGAGTCTGACTCCGTCTCTCTGTGTCTCTGTCTCTCTGTCTGTCCGTCTGTCTGCCTGCCTGTCCGTCCGTCTGTCAATCTGTCTGTCTGTCGGTCGGTCGGTCGGTCGGTGGGTCGGTCGGCCTGTCTATGTCTGTCTGTCTGTATGTCTGCCTGTCTGTCTGTTTGTCTGTCTGTCTGTCTGTCTGTCTGCTTGTCGTGTTTTTGTTGTTTGTTTTGTTTTGTTTTGTTGTTTGTTTGTTTTTTTTTGGGGGGGGGCATTCTTTTTTTGTTCTGTTTGGTTGCTGTTTGTGCGCCAGTTGGGGAAGCGATGAGGCACAGCCCCTTGCGCAGCAATGCTAAGGTGCTTTTGGGCCGGGGCTTTGAGCCCGACTGGCCTGAGATCGTCCGGGACCTGAGGCTCACTTTGAGAACCGAAGGGGCTATCGGCTAGGGGCTTGGATGGCCAGTCTCTCCTTGCGCGAATGCTCATCTGGCGCCACCTCAAGGTTGGCACATCCCATGCAGCACTTGCCCTAGCAAGCGGCCGCGCATGAGGCAGCGGCCGCAGTAGGCATTACAAGTCAGTCGCCTTCGGGATCTATTGCACGCCGGGCGCCATGGCTCGTCTTCTGCTCTTCCTGCTGGCCTGTGCCGGCGCTGACATGTTGCCAGACTTTCACTTTCGTGGCGGCAATGAGGTCAGGCTGTTGGGGGAAGGTATCTTCACCTAAAGCGCCTCAATTTCCCGTGAGCTTGCATCGGCTTGTATCAGCTTCTGTCAAATGCAGGAGAAGTGTTGCACTTGTTGGAACGAGTTGAAGGCAGCAATCATTTCCTGGCAACCTGCAGCCAAAGGCACGTGAAGCTTTCGACTGACCAAATGTTTAGGCATATTGCTTTGGAGCTTGTATTGATGTCTTACGGCCTCTGCGTAAATTTGTCAACTTGAAGAAGGCTACGCGTGAAGCTTGCAAAGCTGCCAGGACCACTACAAGCTTGGCTTCGAAATAGGCCGCAGGTACGAGGCAGCTATCAAAGCCAGAGTGGCAGCGCATGCCGCTTGGCGGCAGGAAGCAATGAGCAGAATAGTCCTGAATAGGATGTCCGTGTGACTTGGCGCAGGAGACGTCGCTGAAGCTGATCTTCAGCCATGATGGCTGCCAGCAGCATTTCAAGGACCTGCTTGCTACGCACCAACGGTTGCGCTCTTGAAATAGCGGTTCGCCGCGGGTTCCAGGTCAGCCTTTTGGAAGCTGTTTACCTGATTAACGGCTAGTGACTTGTCTTGATGATGAAATGTGCTCTACTCAAGTGAGACTTGCACACTGCAGATGGCATTCCCACATACCGCCACCCAAGTTCTCACACCATGAATCACCCAACACCGTCTGACATGTCTTGCATCCTCGAACTTTTGCGCAATAGTGTTGCAATAGGTTTTGCTGGACACCATCAACAGCTACATCAGATGCAACAGCCGCAAAATCAAGAGCGACATCAACAACTGTTGCATCAATGGTGGCAGAGGCAGCAGGAACCGCGCTTCCCAGGAGGGGTGGCCGACGAAGACAGGCATCAGCAAAGGAACAAACATAACATGCATGGTTCTGAAGCTGCTTGCAAAGAAGACCACGGGTATGCTCTCATGCTTTCCTCCTTTGTAACTACCTTTTTCCAAGGTTCAGATTGTTGCATCAAGGGAAGCAACATCTCGTCATTTTCCAAGGGCATTTTTGTTGCAGCTGTGTTTCGAGGGCTGTGGGGGACTCGATTCCACGTGTGTCGGGAGAGCCTGTTCTTGGCGCAGATATTGAGAACCTTCCAGTCTTACAATGATTCAATGGCCCTTTTTTCTATTTACAAGGTAAGCCATTCCAACCAGCATTTGGGGCAGCCCGAGGTTGGTGCCCCAGCTACTTTTGGAGCTGCAGGGCATCGCGGAGGGCAGCAAAGTGGCCTTTGAAACGCTCTGCGCCATTAGCTTGCAGGAGGGTGCTTTGGGATGTGTTGGGCAGGGCGTTGGTAGCAAGACGGGCCTCACGTGTCAGTGGAAATGTCGCACTGGGTAAAAAGTTAGCTTGCCTTCCTGATTTAGGTTGGCTTACAAGCCAGCCCTCCCATTGAGTGACCGACTACAGCTAGCAGGGGATGCCATTCAAATGGAAGCTAATGATGCCAACCTCATATTCATAAAAGGGGTCCCCTATGTTTGTTTTGTTAGGGGCCAGGGGCGGGGAGGGGGGGGGGTGTAATAAACGGCTCCAGGTCCAACTTGTACTAGTAGTTCGTTGCAGTTGTTCTAGAGCTGCTTGTAGTCCTTGTAGTGCTGCTTGTAGTGCTCCGTAGTACTTGCAGTCTTTGCAGTGCTGCTCAACTTATTTGTAGTCGTACAAGAATGGCCTTGGGAAAATTGTTCAGTGCGTTTCTTTTTTCTTGGGACGTGGAGCTTTTGGAGACGCCTGTGTCGTACAGTCAGTTAACTTTAGTATTGGCCCTTGCCTATTTTAGTACTGGAGAGAATAAATGGGGCTTGCCTGGAACCGATTGTATTATTCGGCCCCCCGAAATGATTCATATTCCTACTAGGCTGACATAAACGGGTTCCAGCTTGCACCAAAGCACAATCATGTGCGTAGCATCCCAAAACCGATTTGTCAGAACTTAGAACTGATTTAGGGTCACCCAAAGCTGCATTGCATGCCTTCACCGTTGCTGGCAAACTAACCACGGGACCTTGCCTGCAGAATTGCAGAACCCACATGCACTGCGGCTAACTTAGCGTAGGCCCACTCAAAACAAAACACAACTGCAACAACAGACACACCCCCACACACCACCCCACAACCCCCGCACACCCACAAAACCACACCGCACCCAAGCGTGCGTCAACAGAATTTCGGCATGCTGTGCAGGGGGTTGTATCACATTCTGAATTTGCATAAATCGAGAATCCTCCTCGCAGCCTATTTCATGTTCCTTCCCGACTTCACAATTGATGGACGGTTCCGAGGTAGGTCCGGAACTCGGTGCGCATAAACGCACAACCACACACACACACACATGCGCAACCGCGTAGGAGGCACTCTGAGCGGCCGACCAACAATGAACAGGGTCACACCGCCACTATAGGCGCGGAGTAGTTAACAAAAGAGGCAAATGCCCAATCAGGATTTCTGGGCGTGAAACAATTGCGGCATCGCCTGCCACAAGCAATCGTGAGTGTTGTGCCATCATTGACAAGTTTTTCAAGTGCTGGGGATTCAACACGCCTTTCTTAGCATGACACAAGGTGGCTCACTTCTTGCCAGCCTTTCGAAGATCCCGAGGCAAACTGCAGCGAACTATGGCTCGCAGAAATGAAGTGTTCGTAGTCTTGGAGCGGCCAGTCGTAGATGACACACGCATGAAATAAGTCCATTCTGCGTGATACGGGAAGGTTTGTCGGGCACTGTCACTAAACCAAGCAACTGCAGGCATCCGAGTAACTTGTGCACCGTACGTTGTCACCCCACCCCAACCCCCAAAGTCATTGAGGTGTTGCGTGCAAAATGCTCCGCGCAGTTAGTTTATGCATGAGCATAGGCAACTCCCCTGTGCAAGAACGACCTGCAGACAACAGCCCAAACATTTGACTTAAGCCACTGTGAGGAATTATAGCCACTCCTGCCATTATGTACTACATTTAGGTCATGTTTCCTGCCCATGGCATTGCCAACAAGTTGGACCGGAGATCCTGTGGTTCGGACAAATAGTTCACTTTTGACCAGGTACCGAATGTCAAGGTGTGCGATTCTGTATTTGAATAGGCCCTTCGCCCTCTGCCCATTGCTAAGTTTAACACCTGGCACATGGTTTGTGCTGGCCACAAGAGCTGAGCAAGTTGGTTTGCCGAAATCCGACGCTTTGGATTAGGAGGAATTGGGCTACTGCAAGCCAGATTTGAGACGAAGTGCAGACCACTGCTCTGATTATATGCTTTGCGGCTGGGCTGGAATCTGGCTCGATGAAGGTGTGAATTGGCACTTTATGTTTGGCTGTTTGGGAAATGGCAGCAGCCTGCAAGAGCTCAGCAGGGAGCTGGCAGAGGGTCAGACGATTGACCGAGGCAACGCAGAGCATTGCCTGGATGCCCACAATGAAGATGGCGACCTTGCAGACGCCTGGGCAAAATTTGAAAGGGGGCAACTCGCTTGATGCTTTCCGCTCGTGGGCATGGATACTGCCAAGGACAAGCAACTTTTTGCGGCCTTTGTGCAACTGGGAGCCAGCAACTTCACTGTGCTGAACTACGCCGGTGACCTGCTGGGCGGCATGCGCCGAAGCAGAAGCATAAGGTTTGGGCATAGGGCCTCAATAGGCCCCAAATCCTCATATGCCACGTGCAAGGATACAGAGGCACTGCTACCGCGCCGGACTGAGGCTTGCAGGAGTCTTTAGGCCGTGCTGCTGGATGGTGCCAGGCAGTTTGTGTGGGGACTGTTGGCCACCTTTTTTTCAGCTGGCCGTACATCGGCTTTTTTGTGCTGTGGATAGTGGCAAGTGTTGATTTCACCCCTGCTGGCTGAAGTAGGCAGCATGCCCAGCTGCATAAGCCTCATATGACTCATATTGCATCCTCCTTGCCTCCAAATCAACGGCGGCTCTAAGTCGGAGCTTCCGCTTTCGTTGAATTCGCCAAGGTCGGCGCTGGCCTTCAACGCCCACGGCCTCGCCTTCTCGCTGAATTGGCTGGGTCCGGCCAGCTGCGATGCTCAGCGCGAGGGCGGCTGGGGGGAGAGGGCGGCGGAACGAATGAGCGGATTTCTCGGGGCATGTTTTGTAGGCAACAGAGCTGTGCCATCCAGCTTTTTCTTCAGGACACTAGCGGCCTGGGCCGGAACTTTGTCAGCAGGATGCTTCTTGATGCACAAGGCGAGAATTGGCTCCATTGGGCTGAAGCTTTCTTGTGCACTTGGGCTGTTTGGAATATTTGCATAGGCGTCATTGCACCTTGTCGTCCTGACAGCTCCGCTCTCAGACCGCCGCTAGGCTGGGACGAGGCGAAGGCCATCATATCCCAGAAGCATGCTATAGGCGCGGGCAGATTTCTGACTGCCGCGAGCAAGCCGGTTTTGGCCAGCTGGCCCCTTTGCATCCTGCGCTGGTTCCACAAGCTAGCAGGCCACAACTACCAGCTCATGGACTTCCGGCACCGCCGCATTGCCAACTTCGAGGTAGCACAGGACCAGGCCAGGCAAATTCCTGGAATTCCCTGTCAGATGTGAAGTGAAAGTCTTCATCAGAGGTCTAACATGCCTGGGTCAGATGAGAGTTCACCTTTGAAGGATCGCACGTTGAATTCGTGCAAGTATTGCACATCCAAGTGAAAGTCTACATGTTTTTGGCCTCCGGTGGTCTTTCTGGTGTATTTGGTGTGGGGCCGGTCGGCTGCGCAGGTCTCAGAGAGGCCGATCCGGGAGGCTTTCTTCCATGCCAACCAGTACCAGACGCTAGACGCGCCCGGACAGCCAGGAGCTCAACTGAAGGAACTGCGTCTTCATGAAGCTCAGCCTTTGCCACGTAAGGCTTGACCCTTGATTTGCTTTTGCCTGCCTGCAGGGCTGCGTAGTATGATCAAATCGAGAAACTGACATGGTGAAACGTTTCAACCTCATTCACACAGGTTTGCGCATTGCTTCCATTGCTGAAGGGATGCACCTGACAGTGAAGCCAGGAGGCAGCAATGACTGCACGGGCACCGGGCATGAAACCTTTCGAATAGTCGGAGCGGTGTGACTCTCTTCTGGGTCAGCAGCAAGCCACAGGACAGAGACTCCTCGTCGTTTCCCCCGCAAACTCACTGCGGCTTTTGTGAATGAGTAGGACCTTTTGAAACCCAGCTACAACCTTCTTGGCTATGGGCACTAGCCCTGCCCCTGGGAACAAGACTCAGGTACCGGCGAGTGGGCGCAATACAGTAAAGCAGCGCATTGGCGCTTATTGTAGCGTCACTGGAAATATTCTTCCTGGCATATCCCCGTTTTGAAGGAAGCAATGCAGCAATTGCACTGCCTCAATTCTAGCTTTGCCAATTCAGTCGCTTGCAGGCTGTACTTTGACTAGGGCGAATTAATCATCAAACCAGGCAGCGCAGCGAAGCCTTACAGTAGTTGTCCTGCTACCTGCCTAGACTGCAGACGGGTAACTTGAAGGACGTTGTTGAGTTGCTGCCAGGCCTATTCTCGCAAAGCCTGTTTTCTCAAAAGAGTCAATGAAAGGTAGTAGACGGACATCGCCCCTTATTTGATTCAATGGTTGTGGTTGTGGTCTCCGATAGGGCCCGCCTTGCATGTCGCGCATGCAATGCTGTCGTGCCTTTCGGCCAGCCGCGGGCAATATGACAACCTCCTAGAAACCTGCGCTCAGGATTCTTGGCAACAGCTCCCTGCACCGCCTGGCGCGGGTGAAGCAGTTGCCTGCGCCCCGCTCCGCAACAGAGGCCCTTTGTATCTTGGGTGACCAGGAGGACATTTCGTGCCCCTTGCGCGTGGCGCACATATATGCAAGTATGCGCATGATTTGGGGCGGCGGAAGAGGCTGCTGGCGATAGCAACATATCACGAGGTGTTAGCCAAACAGCAGAGAGTAGATTCATCTTCTTGAGAAACGGAGGGATAAACGTCTGCAGTCGATATGTTATGGATGTTGGTGGCAGGGTGTTGCCCGCAATTCAAGCACAACATATCATAGCCGTTAAAGTCAGAGGCTCGAGCAGTGATGGCCTTTGTTTTGAGACAAGGTTTTTGCTCATCAAAGGTTCAGCGTTTGTGAAATGGGCCTGTGTTCCTTTCTTGCACTTCGCAGTGATTGGCATTGGATTGAAGCCGCTGGGCTTGAACAAGGCGAGTGGTTCAGCATGCTCACTCTTGCGAGCATGGGTGCGTGGACAGGTACCCCATCTTCCACGATGAGCGTTCTCATCGCTTGGGGGACCTTTCGGATTGGACATTGGCCACAGCACTCTTCAACCTGGACCAGGCAATGAGTACCCACCAAAGCCAACAAAAAGTATCCCAAGGCATTCAATGTGTCGCTTGTTTCATTCATGAGTGGACCCTTGGGCAGGGCTCAATTTTGGCTGTTCCATGCGCATCCCAATTGAGCATGTGCAGAGTTGTTTGGCCTTGGCTATGCAGGGCACAGTGGACGTGATGGCTGGGAATCCCAAGGCCAGGTGGAAGACACTGGCACCACACGGCTGCACAGACGTTGAGGCATTAATCTCGAGTTTTGAGGTTTAAGTGTTGAATCGTGGGCAAAAAACGAATTGTATGCGCCTGCGGGTGGCCCCTTGCTTGAGCAAATGCAAGACGTCCTGCTTGACACGTTGCCTAGGACGGCAAAGTTTCCTAGACAAGCGGTACACGCCGCCCTGAAATTAGGACGGTGCTGTCCAACGGCAATTCCGCGTACTTCCCAGTGCTCCATTCAGCGTGGCCGGTTCCCTGGAGGGAAGAATTCGGAGGAATCTGGAATGGCTTGCGTTCGCCCGAGTTTTTTCGTCTCTCAATGCCAATCTGAGCCCAGGTCCTCTAGGCAGCGGCTTGCATCGCTGACTGCAGGGGGAAAAGGCTGCCGAGCTAGGTGAGTTTGTTGCGCGCGATCTGGGTGTGCTGTCAACTCTTGGGGCGCACATGGTGCACGCATGACACTGCTTACAACTGCCATCCAGCATGTGCCTGGCACGTGGCAACGGCTCGCGACAAGGTCAAGGCTGTTTGCGCCCAGCGCTTCAGCACGGACCTGCACCTTGGGGCAGGACTGGGCTCCCATGTGTCAAAGTGGGGCCTGGGGTATGGGCTTTGGGTTCGACCAACTTGCCTGGAACCCAACTTTGCTGCGGTTTGCGATAGGCGGTGGCTTCTGGCCGACGCCTTGGGAGGATTTTTTAGCTGATGCCACGCCTGGCGTCCAATGCTGAGGTGGCTGGTCGAACCCCCGGAAGACGAGTGAGGTGTCGCAGATGCCTGGCGGTCTCCAGGAAAAGCATCTGAATCCGGACCACGGGGCATGCTCACATATTCCCGATTGCTTTACTAATGATGGTGGCAAAATGTTGGGGTGCTACATGTTGATGATTCAGACTCAACTCAGGCTCCATAGGGCATGCCAGTCCCTTTGCCACGTGCTGCATCATCTTGCAACGACTTCGTGCTGGCTGCTGGAGATGTTGCGGGAGAGTGCCACACAGCTCACCCATGTACCGGCACATGTGCGTGTGGCTCAAGCACAACCCTTTAAGCCAATAAGCAGGCAGCCCTTCTCGCACGCCGCAGCCTTTGATTCTTGGCGGTTTGGGCAGTGCAACCCGATAGCCCAGCATGTTTGCTTGCATTGATTCAGAGCTTGGTAGCCCTCGGTCCAGATTCAGATTGGTCCCGGGTCAAGGGCTGACCTGGCTGACCAAGGCAGCGACGGCCGGCCTTTGACCTTACTCCAGGTGACGGGTACGGAGAGTGGCTCTCGTTGCCGCCGAGCTGCCTTCACTACTGACATTGATGTTTGCCTGTATGTCACAATGGAACTTGAAGGTACGGCTTTCAGCACAGGCCTTTTGTCTTGTTTTTTGTTTCTTCTTTTTTTTTTTTCTCGGGTCAGTTGGCGAGCACCACTGCGCGATCGGCGCAGCTTCCTTTGGCTTTGGCGGCCTCTCCGGGGAGCGCTGACACCATGGAGGCCGGGGCAATGCGCATGCGCGGCAAACGGAATTGGTCACAAGGCCCGTGAGCCAAGGTTCTGGTGACGGATGCCTTTGGCCTTCCTGATGACTGCCTAGTCTCCATTCGCTATGGCACCACCAGGCCGCGGCACTGTGGCGCTGTCCCAGCCCTTGGTCAATTCAACACATTCCATTGTGCGTGCGTTGAAAAGCGCTTCTCTCATCAGGGTAAGGGCACCATCGCATGCGGTTTTGCGGGCCGGTCAGGGGGGTGGTTCGAGGCGCCAAGCTCCTCTGGAGTCCGTCCGGTCCCAGCCTTTCAAGTTCCCCACGCAGTTGGACGAGCTGAGCCGCTCGAAGTTACCCCAGGGTTGGCCAACTGCAACCTTGGCCTGATGTTGCCATGATGCCATTTGCAACTTCAACTCAAACAATATAACTCAGTGACATTTCTTCGGGCTAGCCGAAAGCCGCAAAACGTTGGATACATTTTGTCTCCGCTGGCTCTGTGTGTGGCAAGCCAAGGTGAGCCATTGAAGATCGATGTGCTGAAGCCGTTGGTGTCAACTCGTTTGGTGCTTCACCCTCACGAGGCCAAGCTCTGAAACACTGAGAAGGGTTGGGAATTGCACACTTCTCTGATACTGGAAGGCCTTCCGGCTGACACTTTGTGTTTGTTTGCAAGCCAAGCCAGCCAGCCACCCAGCAAGTCAGGCCAGGCAAGCCCTTGTCAGGAGCAGTACGGCATAGGCTTCGACCACGAAGAGGAGATTGCCATGGGGCTGCACGTCAGGGCCACAACAGGGGCAGAGCCAGGACCCGGGGACGGTGCTTGCTCGGTGCCTTTGTGCACGCTCTGGGAGCTCTGGGAGCCATTAGTGTAGGGCAAAAGCCGAAGCAGCCAGGAGCTAAGGAGTCCAACGGCAAGGACTCGGCATCCTCCGCCAAGGACTACCTGGAGCAGCGCCTCGGCTGCAGCCTGGAGTAAATGAAACCCGGAGCGCTCCTGCAACTCCCAGCCGTGGAGGGGCAAACTGAAGTCAGTATCCGTTGTGCCTCAGGAATGGCTTGCTGAAGTACGTGCAGTCCCTCCTCCATGCAGTCATCCAGGACCTTGAAATGCGTTGTGGGATTTGGGCATGCAGACGTGCGATGTGAGGAAATCAAGCTAGCAGCAAATCACACCCGAGGTAGCACAAGCAGTCCCCTTGGCGAACGGAAATGCACGTCCTGGGAGCGAACCTGCGTCACAGTAAAATCATGTGCCGCTCATGCTTCCAGGACAAGCCTCAGGATCCGCGGCTTGGCGAGCAGGGTGCTGAAGGATGAATTGTTTTCCTAAGAGGGCGCCTACCTTTTCTCGTCTTTTCTTGACGGGGTGGGGTAAGGTGGGGTTTGTTTTTTGGTTCTGATGTTAAGGGTGCCGAGGAAATGCAACAAGCCATTGCATCAGACATGTGAGCAAGATGACGCCCGGGTGAGGTGCGATTTAGCTTCTTGGGTTCTCCAACCCAAGGGGCTCAAACAATCCATGAGTACAGCCAATGCAATCTACACGCAATTTGCGGCAAAGCAGAATGGAAAGGCTGCCCAAACTGTTGCGAAAACAGGCCATGTAACACGCTCGGTCAATCAGACTCACCCCGCTTGTGCATTTGTCATACATAACTGTTACAACTGTCTATCTGCAGCATGCACCTGCAGCTATACCGTTACCGACAGTGAGGCATTTGATAGCTTGAGGAAGCCATACTTGTTGGTGCAGCTTGTGAATGCCAGTTTGTGGGACAGGGGCTCAAGACGCTTGCATTTGCCAGGTTCGCCTACATGATTGAGCAGCTGACAGCTGCCAAGAGCACAGTGCTTAGATTCGACAGGTTCCGTATCCTGCAATGGGCACGGTTTTCGCTTCAACAAGAAGATGATTTGGTTGTGACTTCACGTGGGCGCAGTGGTGCGAACTTTATGGAGCAATTGATGATTTCTTTTTGCTGACGTTAAGTGCAATCAAATCGGCCGCGTTCTGACTGCAACGAAATGTGACCATATTCTACTGCAATCAAATTTGACCATATTCCAGTTGCAGACCAGGGCTTTGGCCCCAATTGAACTGGTCGGGCCACGCACGGGCTTAGCCGTTGGCATTTCTCAACCTACCTTGGCCATATGGCATTAAAACCCCAAGGCAAATCCTCAGCCTGCGAGCGCGTGCTGTCCCGGCCCACCAGCGCTGTGCACCGGCCTTCTGGTGCACGGCCCGCGAGCGCCAGGCAGGCTCGCAGTCAGCCCACGGCTTCACCCCAGACGTCCTTCCGGTTGAACTTGGACTTTCACTGCCCGGAAGAGGTTGCATCTAACATGCCGAGTGCCCCTCTTGCCGTGCCCCATGCCAATTTCGATTGAGATGCCTCGGGCTCCTTGCTTTTGCCTCTCGGCCAGCTATGCACCCATTACTTCAGGGTGGGTATGGAAACGTGGTTTGCCTCTTCAAATGAGGGACCTAGACTTGAAGAGGCTGGACTACAGCCAGGCCAAAGCCATACCAGCCCCCTAACCTCACATAAGACATGGACCCCATGCCAACGCATGCACCACACCCCCGATTCGCGCATCGCCAGCCCACAGGCCTACCCCTCCAAGGGCCAAGCCAGTGCCTGAAGGACCTCCTGCAGAAGAGCCGCCAATTTTTCCGCACCTCGACGAGGTGATGCTTTTGGGCCTTTCAACGAAATATACCTTGAGTCCTTACAAGGAGCATTTGTTCTCACGAGTGGCTTCTGTGGTACTCGGATCAGGCATCAGCCCGGCATGATGCAAACACGTTTCCAGAAGCCATGATAGTTCAGGATTCCTGAAGGAGACCTTATGCATGTTGCCATGTCTTTTGCCATCTCCTGCCGGGCTCATTCGTTGGCCAGGGAGGTTAGACCAGCTAAGGACCGTCGACCAGGTTCCTGAGGTTGCACAGCAAGTTCCTGCCCAGATCTTGATGCAGTTGACGTGCCGAGTTGCAGCAAATTTCAGACTGACACTCAGGCTCAGGCTGAGGTGGAAGCGGAGGACAAGGAGCTGGTTTCTAAAGAATTGTATTGCATTTGTTGGTGTGACCTTAATTCAGGCCCAGTGGCAGGCACATAGCACATGGGTGGGAAAGGAAGTTGGAAAGCCATCAATTTGATGCTTTGGATTGTTTGGACTTGCAGGGCATGCGGGCAAGCCTGACAGGAACGGGCGGAAGAGTCGCAGAAGGCTCTTCAAGAACTGGATCGATGCCACTCGGGCATTGAACAGAGTTGTTGCAAAGTGCCTACTCACATTTTACCAAATTTCTGTCACAGAAGAATGGATTTACTTCACCACCAGGCGCAGACATCAAACAGGGCCTTCTGCAAAAGATGACGGCTGCAGCAGGTGCTGGCGAGCTTGAAGCGGCATCGTGGCTGGAAGTTCATGAATGGATTTTCATTTCTGTCAGCAGATCCCTTTGAGTCTTTTTACCTGGTTCAGTCGCAGCATGAGCTAGAAGGCAAAGCTTGCATCTAGGTACTCACGGCCGTGGGGTTAGACCACAGCCGCACTCGCATCCAGTCGTTGCTGGAGCAGTCCGCCGAAACAGGACAGGGGCAAAAGTGAGAAACGTGCCCTTTCCTGGTTGAATTGCTTCGATTGGACCCACTTTTCTTAGGCGTTTCTTCTTCGCTGGGCCTTCACTTTGGCGGGAAGTCGGTGGGAAAGATTGTGGGCCCAGAATCCGGGAAAGCGGGGTTGCAGGGGGTTTATTGGTTGCCAGAGCTTGCTTCGGTCCGCCCTTGCTGAAGAAGCACGGGTGATTGGCGGTGGCATGCTGAGGCGTTGAGGCTTCATCTTTTCGACGTTTTGCCTTGTCAAGCCGAGTTGCTTCACAGGCGAGCTGGAGGCAGCACTGAAGAGGACTTTGGAGCACAAGGATGCAGCAGCCTCTTGGCCCGTCGAAGAGAAAAGCCTGGCAGCCTAACTGTTCGCCGTATGAACAAGGCTCATTGCTCCTAGGTTGTAGGCATAGCGCTGCGAGCACGAGCCTCTAGAGCATGAAAGTTTGTTTGGCCTCAGCCTTTCCTCTCTGTCATCAGTCACCGCACCCAATTCTTCTGGAATGGCTTGTCACAGAATGACCGCATGGCCTCAGGCGGTGGACAAGGTGAAGACGCAGCTGCGGGATGCCTTGCTGAGCGCCAACGAGTCTGGCAAGCTGCTCCAGGTGATGGAGGGGTCGCTTTGTTTGCGTCAAGTTAAGTTTTGATTGTAGCGTTTCCATGGTTTCCCAACTCACTT